GGGAGGGTCAGAGGGAGAAGCAGACTCCCCGCCGAGCAGGGAGCCCAATGCGGGACTCGATCCCAGGACTCCAGGATCATGACCTGAGCCGAAGGCAGTCGCTTAACCAACTGAGCCACCCAGGCACCCAGAATATTTTTTTTTTTAAGATTTATTTATTCATTTGAGAGAGAGAGAGCAGAGGGAAGAGGCAGAGGGAGAGGGAGAAGCAGGCTCCCCGCTGAGCAGGGAGCCCAATGTGGGGCTCGATCCCAGGACCCCGGGATCATGACCTGAGCCGAAGGCAGACGCTTAACGACTGAGCCACCCAGGCGCCCCATTCCTGGAGAATATTACAAGCTCAGTGAATATTTGTTTGAATGATTGAATGAAAATAGGAATTAATGATTGAATGATTTCCATCATGTTGTCAGTATTATCAAATTGCAGGATGCATGTGGGCTAGAATCTGTTGTTCTGGTTCTACATGAGTCCATAGCACAGTACTATATTCTAAAGAATTATAAAATTTTTACTTAATCTGCACTGCTAATCCAAAAGTCAGTCTTTATTTGAAAATTGATTCTGGTATACCCTAGATGTCTTAGAAACATTACGATGCCTCCTGGTAAAACTTCCAATTATGTGTTCATAAATTTGTTTTTAACCTGTCAAGCATACATTGCTTCTCCTGTATCATACCTATTCTATTCTTAGTGAAATCATTGGATTCCAAATCGCAACAGCATGCTTTATTTCAGCAATAATTTAGCAGAGACAAATCCAGTGCTACATGGAAGGATGCTTATTATCTCCTGTACCTCTGCCTCTCACTCATCTAGCACTTTTTCTAACATCTATGACAAAAGGAACTCCCTCCTCCCCGTCTGTTTTGCTCAACAAGCCACTGTAGAAAAATCAGTGAACTGAGAACTGCCAGTCCAGAGACTTGGCCCCAGGGTTGTTGCTATCTTGAGTTAATTAGACTTTGAATTTGTACCTTAACTGCTTTGGGCTTCCATTTCCTCATATATAAAGTGAGGGGGTTGCAACAGATGATAATTGTAAAAAACATAATAACTAAAAAGTTTTTATTAAGCTTTTACCATATGCAAGGAACTATGCTTTGTGCTTTATATACATTATCTCATTTAATTTTAATCCTCCAAACAAGTTTATAAGGTGTGTCAGTCAGGGTCCAGCAGCAAATGGATGGTACATATCAAATTGAGTAATTTGAGGAGTGCTTCATAAAGGAACTATACTAAAAACGTGTGAGCAGGGTGTTAGGAAACCACAAGGGATGGTGCAATGCCCAAGATCAGCAATGGAGAGGGAAGTGACTACCTGAGCCCAGAGAGCTCTGTGGAGAAGGCTGCTGGAGCTATGGCTGGGATGCAGCCAGCCCACAGAGACCCTGGAATCAAGACTCATCCCTCACTCTACCCATTCTGCGCAAACCCAACAGGAATCAAGGGCCAACGTAGACTTCTAAAACTGTTCATACCAGCCTCCAGGACCACAGAGCGGGATGGAGAAAGTGAAGAGTGTATCTGGAGGGACCAACAGAAGATATCCAGTAATATTCAATATAGTTATTCTGATTTATACATGAGATTACTAAGGGTCAAAGAGTTAGTGACTTACTTAAAGTTACACAGTTGACACAGAACAGGACCAAGATTCAGCCCCTTCCTGTCAGACTCCAGAGCCTGGGCTCCTGACTGCTTCTCAGCTCGGGAGTCCCTTTTTGTACTTCCAGAATTAGAAACAGCCTCAGAGAAGTGATCTAATTCAACCATCTCCCATAAAGATACTTGAACGAGATGTCTTTCCATTTAGGATTTGAGCCTTGCAGAGACCTCAAGTCACCTTTGAAAAGCTAGTGGTCTTCCTATTCCTACTTGTTTATACTCTGACACGTAATTTTGATTTAGAACCCTGAGTGAGACACTGGTATGGATAAAGTTGTTATACAGTCAAAGGAAGAGAATAGCATTTTTTTATTATATATATATATATGAAAAAATGTCTTTCTTCTGACATGCTGTCGAAATCAAGCATAATTAAAGGATTTTCCTTTTCCAAAGTGTAGTGGAGTGTATAGTATGGGGAATGGAGAGGGGAATAAACTGATGATTGGATTTTCCTATTTCTCATGCTGGAATTAGAATACAGCCCAAGACTATGCTAAGTGTTCCAGAAGACCGTGGAAAAAGTGAGCAGAATGGAAGATTTTTAAATGAAGTGAAGCCAAAAACTAGGATTAAGCATATTCTTCAATATCTCTGTGAGGGCCCTTAAGAAAAGGAAAGGAAATTCTCATACAGTGAATAGTCAGATTGTTAGTTACTCCTTGCATGAGAATTAAATTTGCTTAAGAGGGAAGACTGTAGTAATTATCTGAGGTCAAGGGGCCCATCCCCAATCTGTCTGCTCCCTTGTCAAATAGAGATAAAAGTCCCACTCAGGACTCAGTACTGGGGAACTCTTCCTGCACAAGCATTTCCTGACCTACAAACAGGTTATTGTCCCAGAAAGTCAGTAATTCAGTTGTTGGAAATATGAAGCAAATCTTCTGGAAGCCAAGATGTTATAAAGTGTGACTCAAGGCTTGACCAGTCCTCAACATCCATTTAAACCCAGAAATCTAATTCAACTAGCATTGCAAATGTACTTCCTGGTATGAAGCAAGAAGGCAAGTGATAATACTGGGAACTTGGCCTGGCCCTATCCCAGATCAAGTCCTGTACCTGGCTTGTTCTAAATGCCTCTCAGAGGTCACAACTCTAGCACCTTAAGCCCAAGGGAAGAATGGAAGCTTGAGTTTCACACAGGCTGGAGTGGTAGATTGGTCAGCTTTCTCTTACTAACAGGGCTTGAGAAGGTGCTGTGGGTAAACAGTGAGTGTTTTGGCCTAGATATGCCTCACCTTGAACTCAAATGTCTTTATCTTTTCTTTTTTTTTTTTAATACCAGAGTAGGTGATCTATCCTTTATTCCACCTTTTAAAGTAGAATAGTTAAATTTTTGTTTTGATCACTTGACAAACTTCCCAATTTTAGCAGACCGTCTACCCACAAGTAATGAGGTGCTATGAGTGAAGAAAAGGGGCATTTTAGTTACTTTTCAAAAGCCATCACCATGGCCTTGAGAGAATACTCTCAGGAGAAAAAGTTCAGTTCAGGACTCAGTTTTAACTAGCTTGTTAGTCATAAGAAATCTCCAAAAAACCTGGGTATAGGACATCTTTTCCAAGAAAAGTGATTTTTCTGCCACTTGAACCCTAGCTATGCAGGTTTTTAGATTGTTAAATAATCAGCAGCAGCTTCATCAGGACTTGGTAGTGAGTGGAAATGGGGTTAGGACAGAATGAGGGGAAAGAGATTCCAGTGAGTCCCGCTGAACCACTGCTAAGAGTTCCCTCTTTTCAAACAAGCCCTGGGTGTACAAAAGTCAACTTCTACTTGATGAGAGATTGGGAGGTGAAATGGGCTCATATGTAGCCCTTCCAAAGATAAAGACCTGTGAACTTACCCTAAATTCCCTTTTAAATTAACTTTGATTTAGTAAATTTCCTGGTAACTTCCCCAAACTGAGGAAATAGAAATAGGTGTAAAGTGGTATCTCATAAACCTATCTTTTAGGATAAATGAGTGTTGTGGGGGAGGTGGAGAAAGAAGAAGGTAAGCGGTGAGGGAGGAAAAATGAGAGAAGGAAGGAAAAACGGAAAGGAAGTAAGAAGGAGAGAGTATTCTGCCAGTTGACTTCATTTCCACCCGAATCCACCCACTCTGAGCTTCTGTTGTTGCTTTGTTTATGCAAAGTTAGCGGGGCTAAGACAGAGTGAAGGGCTGAGAGATCCACGCTGAAGAAGGCAAAAATAATTTTTAAAATGCAAACGAAACACACACACACACACGAGTGAGGACCTGGGCAATCCCAGCAGACTTTGAAATGAAAACACGCTGAGGAGGGGTAGGTGGGAGGCCCAGCGGCAGCGGGGAGCGTAGTCGGTAACCGAGGGAGCTCTGGTGAATATCAGGTTCGGATTAGTGACAACTCAGAAGTCACGCAGGCGGTTGGGGGAGGGAAGTTTGCCAAGGTCTCTGAACTCCACGGAAGAGAGAGCAGCTTCCCTAGGCGCCGGGCGGAGCAGGGCGTACCCAGAGAGACCTCTGTCCCGGCCCGAGCGCTCACACCCTGCCCAGAGATTGAGTTTGTCAGCGATCATAAAATGGGAATTGATTATTCCAACCACCATTGATTAGGGAAGAATGCTTACTGCAGCAGCGGGGGAAAGGTTAAGAGGAAATTGACCTTCTTCTTAGGTGACATAAAGTCATTAGGTAAATGAGATATTCACACAGGAGTTTTAAAAGGTCATGCTCAATTTTTATTTGTAGCCTTAAGAATCAACCTGGCGCGCGGTTTAGGTCAGGGACCCCGGTCTTCTGGACGAGTGGACCTACAGGAAGAGAACTCTCGCAGCGCTGGGCAGGGGCGCGGGTAGAGAGTGGGTTGTGTTGGGAGGATCATGTTGGAATTGGCGGGGGTCTGGGGACCCACTAGCTTTGTACCTCCTGCCTGACCTGTGCGTGCCTGTATCCCTGTGGAGAGCTTCCCGCCGGGCTCTCCTCGGTTGCTTTCGGTGGCCAGCGAAGGGATGTCGGGCAAAGACCAAAGACGGACAATTAAAAACCCTTAACGCTACCAGAGCCGGCCCCTTCTCACCCAGAGTGAAAGTGTGTGTGTGTGTGTGTGTTTAAGGAGAGAGAGAGATGTATTTATGCACATATTTATCCCTCTGATTATAGGAATTAATCCTCTTATGACTAAAAGGTAACGTCGAAGGACGTTCCTTTGATGTGGAAAAGCATCATTTGTGACTCACATTCAGACTGATTAGGGAATAATTGTTGTTAAACGCTTTACAAGAGGAGAGTGTTTAATTGAGGGGCATTCGTAATTTTACGGCTTAGCACAAAATTAAACGTAATTAAAAACTCAGAAATTCCAACTGATTTTCCAATTATTTTTATTGTCTGAGCTAATTGTTACACAAGGGTATCACTTCTCCCCAAAGGCATTAAAGAAAAAAGGGCAACCGTACCTTTCCCAAATCTTCACGGAGAGTATTCGGAGCTTTCTCCAGGTATACGCCAGGTAAAGGACCTTCCTCCTTTCCCTCCTCCCTGCGTCGGGGCCTCACGCTCCTCCCTCCCCCGCTGTAATTAAGCGTTTCAGCCGCTCTCCCCTTTCTCTGAGTTCCTGCAACACCTTGGGATGTGAGAAAGTGATGGCAGTTCTCTTCTGCAGATCATTACAGCAAAACTGGAAGTATCTGTAGAAGGCTGATGAATTTCTTGAAGTAACACTTGTCATACATGGCGGAGAGATTAAAAAAACCTAAGTAAACACAACTCTCTGGGGGCGATCCCTCGATGCCTCTTCTGCCTCTTGAGTGTGTGGCAGGAGGGAGGTAACACGCAAACACCGACTGGGAGATGTTTATAAACGTGCACATGAAGACACACAGATGCACGCAGCGAACTTTCTTTTGCCTTTTTTTTTTTTTAAGTTTTTTTGTTTGTTTGTTTTGAGGAAAAGATGAGTAGGAAAAGCTTCTCAGGTGGATTCTGGATTTTTTTTCCCTAATGCTGGGATTGAGGGCACAAAGCCAAGCTATCTTTGTATGCATCGCTTCTCTTAATGTCCATACAGATTTATTTAAATACAACATAAGGTTTATAAAAAGTGCTTCAATGTTATGGAAATGAAAACGCATCCTTACAGCTCATCCAGAAGTGGCCCTGTCTTTCCTATCAGACTTGGACGGAATCCTAGAAAATAAAAAATAAAAAAGCATAAAATTAGGCAAAATGTGAATTTATAAATGTCAATTAGTTTAGACTGAGTGTTGAGCGATGGAATGTTTGCGTTTCAGTGTCTTAATTTCTCTGTGATTTTTAGGTTAGAGACTTCAGTGGATTCAAGCTTTCTATCTGGCTTTCCCATCCACCACCAGCACCAGCACCACCCCCCCTTAAAATAAATGATTGCCTCTGATCTGACGTGCCAGGTGAAAATGGGTAGAATTAAAACTGTCAATTCTCTTTCCAACTTGTGTCTTTTGATTGAGTTCAAAAGCTTTTAAAGGTAAAAACGTGCCGATCATTTATATGTATTATTTTTCTCCTATCACAGCTTCTAAGTAAAAGAAAGAAAACGTATTTATATTTTCAAATTCATTTTCCCTGGAAGATTTCAGTCTTCCAGGTAATTTGATGATGGACTATGACACGTGGGAAAACGCCTGCCCCGAAACAGCCCGGTTTACACCAGTGAGCTAAGGGGGGACATTGAAGTCCGGTTTTTCCATTTTTCTACCTAACTGGTTTATTTGGAGCTGAGATGTGGATATTTAAACCTCAAGCTTTCCAAATACTACAATACTATTTCGGAGAAAAGGCTAGAGTAGGCAGAGTTGGGAAGAAAGGAGGAAGGCTCCCTTTGAAAGTTAGAAATGGTGAAAAAGACATGTAATCCGATGTGGAAAATTGAGTAAAAGAGGCAGTGCACACTTTAGCTTAGGCAAAGATTGCTGAGTCCTTTGAAAAAACTGACACGGATTTTCCAGAGATGGGCGGAAAGAGATGGGGTGGGGGTGGGGGAATCCTAGGGTGGGCATTTTATGTAAATGAGTAAATTCAAAATGTAGTACAAATCCAGTATAGTAAAACTGACAGTTCTGACAGTATTGACAACATAAATATATGTTTGAACACTGCACTTTCAGACACTTAACCGATGAAGCAATAAAAAAATTCGACTACAATATTTCAAATAATCGACATTGATGTTTTGATACATCATTTTTATACTCCGAATCGATCTATCACTCTGGGACTGGTCAATTTTAAGTAAAAATGGGCTGCAATTATTTGCACCTTGGCTAATGATGACCTAATAACAGTCCTCAATTAATTACACCCATACTGTGCTTTCTTCCTTTGGTGTTGGGGGGTTGGAGGGGAGGCAATTCTTGAGGAACAAAACCTATGATTGTGTCATCCCCACCCCCACCCCCACTTTCTATTCCATTTTTGAGACTATGGAGAGGAGGCAGAATTTCAGAATTAGGAAGGGGTCTTTGGCGATCACAGACACTACAGGCTGAGGTCCCCTCATTTCAGGTAGCCACCAGGTCTGTATTGGAATATGGTTCTCAATTTTACTTTGCCAGATCAAAACTAAATTTCAGAAAACGCAATCAGAAAGTTGAGTGACTCTAAATCTCCCCCAGGCCCCATAATCTTTCCTCTGTTTCAAGGAGTAGATGGAAGAGATTTGCTCAAAGGGAGAACTGAAGATTTCTCTAAGGCTCAGAGTGTGGTGTGTGTCTGGGGAGTTGGAGGGAGAATAAAAATTTTAAGGGAGTATCTAGAGCACCCAGTTGAAGTTGAATCTTTCCTTTCTCCCCTATCGCCTGGGACGGCTCTCCACACCCCTCTGAGGGTTTATAGGCTACTGTTTGAAGCAAACAAACAACAAAAAAGCCACGGTAAGAAAGAAGACAAATCTCTTTGAGAAAGGAAGGAGGACGTTGGTGAGTACTGCATCCTCAAGCCTGCCTTCCCGCAGTTTCCAAGTGTTGGCTTTCTCCTCTCTGCCCGGTGGGCTCTCCAGTGCATTCGCTCACTCCCACTTTTCTTTCCCACTCCTCTCCAAATCTGGTGTGGTAATGGGGGGTGAGGGGAGGATAAAGCGAGCTCATTTTGAAAAAGAAATCCTAGACAGGCCCAGGATATGAACTCGCGCGATGCATTGTGATGTAGGATCCCGCAGGCAAGAGACTGTGTTGGGGATGGGGGTGGAGAGCAAGAGCCCGGTTCTCTCCCAAAGGCCAGGCGTCAGCTGCTGCTCCCACCCCTGCGACGCTCCAACCCTTTCTTAAACTCGCACTGAGCCTTGGCCTCCTGACCTAAAACTTAGCTGGTCTCCACTAGTCGGGATTCCAGTGTCTGATTTCTTTCCTCCAAACTTCACAAATGCAGTTTTAGTCCCCTCCAAACCACAGCCAGCTGAGACGCTGGGACGTAAGCAACATGTTAAACAACATTAAGATGCTAATCAAAGACATAGGTGGCGAGTGACCCACACTGGGTGAAGGTGGGAGCCCTAGAAGAGCTCCTTCACCAGAGCATCACCTAGTTCCGAGGGTATCAGCCTCTGACTTAGTCGTTCCAAAGCCATCTGCGCTGGGAGTGGGGGTGAGAGCTAGAAGAGGGGCAGCAGGAAGAAAGAAGAGGGATAGGATTGAGATAGTCGACAGAAGAAACTAGAGAAATAGAAGGAGAGAGGAAGGAAGGGAGGAAGGAAGGGAGCGCGGGAAGGAGCCGGAGACTGCGAGAGCAAGCGCACGTCGTGTTTGGAGCCCCGCCAGATAGCGCTAGAGGGCTATTTATTGAAATACTTTTCCTTCTGCAAGATAGTGAAGCAGCTAAAATTGGGAGAAATAAGACATAAGAGAGAGTAAAAGGAAAGAAAGTACAAAGATTCTACCGCATCTTAGTTAAGAGAATAAATTGTGGGGCACTGTCATGTTATTAATGGGGGCGGGGGTGGGGGGGGATACATAGTAGAAAACCTAAGTGAGGAAAGGACCAACCAACCAACCAAACAAACAAACAAAAAAAGGTCCCCTTCTATCTCTTGATCCCACCTAGGAAGAAAGTGAGCAAAGTTAACAGGTAAGAAAGGAAGTGTAATTCTTCCTAGTCCAACTTTCAGAGCTGCTGGTACATGGCTGGGAAGGTCAGGAACAGTTCACAAGGATGAGCTGAGGTTTATAGAGAAGAGATATTTTTAAAGTAATAGATGGCTGCAAGGGAATGGGGGAGGGAGAAGCAAACACATTATTGGAACTGCCAAATAAAATATATATCAAAAATTCCAACTGTCAGCCAGCAGGTCTGGAGCAGAAGAGAGTCCCTCTGCCTTTGTCCCAGTGATGCTGGGCTCAAGGCTCCTTCGGCAGGGCTGCAATCAAACCCCTCGAATAACAATTTATAAATACTCTGGGAAGCTTGGAGAAAAGAGCTAGACTACAAAAATTCACTGTTGTATTCAGAACTCAAAGAACAGTGAAACAGATGGAGAGAGAAGACCTAGTCTTCAGAGGTGGGGTCCAAAGAGAGTCCGGAAGAATAAAACATTCTGATCCTCTTTACTTGCTCAGGTCAGTAATGCAAGAAAGAAAACTTCTTTCAAATAACACTTCAAAGTATTGATTTTGTTTTATTCTAAAAACTCTAGCATCTCACACATCTAGCTTCTCATTTAAAATTGCACGTTTTTTTACCTGAAACATTTTTTAAATCAAAGTAATAATATCTTTCTTTCAAACCAGCAACAGAACCTCCACAAATAAAAACTAACCTTACACAGAAAAAAAAAAAAAAAATCTGCCTAACCCCAAATACTCCAATTCAAAACATTAGCTAAAGTTACAAATAAGATTAAGGTTGGATTTATTTGCTCCTCTAGCAAGCCGTCAGTTATTCTAACTATTGTAAGAAGACAAAAAGGATTTAAACCCAGCGATTTTAATACACAGATTAACACTTCAGACCTCACGGTTCTGAGGAATATGGAGTTATCTGTGCTGAGGACCTATAACTTTCCAGGGGGAAAAAAAAAGATGAAACAGGCACATAGGCATTTTAAAGAAAGTGGGCAAATTCACCTAAAATAGAGTCTAGGTTCATAAATGCTCATTTCAAATTAAGTACTCTGCATGAAGCCAATGCCCTTTAAATTGGGTAACTGTAGTGGGATTCATTTATTCTTTTTAAATTTTAAATGTTACCTATAATAGCATTCCATGTTGAAACAAAAAAGAAAAGGAAAAAAAAGAAGCAGTTCTCAGAAGTCTTAGGGATGCTTCAATAAGAAAGAAGTGATTAAAAACAGACTAGACTCTTAAATTTGAGAGGCCCCCATTCCCCCCCTCCTATTCACCCCCCACGCGATCAGGTCCCCTCCCTTTCACCTCTTTTTTTTATGCAGTGCCCCACCCCCACTCCAAAGCTAAGTAGCAGATTTGGGATTCTGAAGAAAAATAGGTTTCAGCATCCATATTTGTTCTGGGGCACTTGTAAAATGCGATTTGTAGAGGGTCTTTAGCCTCCTGATTGTCTTTGAATTGTTTTTACTGAAACAGATCTTTTGCAGTTAATGAGTCCCCACGCAGCTGGACAGCTCCTCTCGGACACTGAGAACTCTAACCCCAAAATGACCCCAATTTGACACCGCAAGATGAAATTTTACCGCCTGTTAAAACCATTTCCAGCCTGGGCAAAAGGAGCTGACTGTTGACGGAGGTGTGTGCCGCCTCCTGCGACCCCCATCTCGTGCCTGTCTCTTGGGCCTGCCCCACCTACTTTTCCTTCACCCCAAATGTGGAAGAACAGATGAGCCTCGCAGCCTGGATGGGGGTGCAGAGGCTGAGACCAGAGCATCAGGAATGTAATATCAGGTTAGAAATCAGCAAGTGTGTGTACCCCACCGCTTTGGAATCGCTTCTCTCGGACTAGCAAAATTGGAGGAGGTAGAGGGAGATCAGAAGTTCTTAAATGTTTTTCAGCTCTGTTAATAAAACATCAGCAAGTTGGTGATTAAAAGTAATAATTTTTGAATTCATCAGATTGGCCAAGAACCGACACCCTGAATCACTTCCAACTTGATCTTGTGTGTAATCTACTGCACTGCGATGCTATTTTACATTTACAGTTTCATAAATGACATGCAACTAGGTAAGTGGAATCTCTTAAGTCGAGTGAAATTCGGGGTTCTCCCCTTAGGCAATTGGTGAATTTTTAAATGATGCAGATTTTCCTCCATTAGGGCTTCATTTTTAACACTCACACTTCTTAACTGAAGTCTCTGGAGTTAAAGATGATTCTGGTGTGTTTTTTTTCTTTGACTCTATCTTAAAATGTCCTATTTCTCTCTCCCTCCTACATCAACCAGATTGTCCCTGTAGTTTGCTTTAATATATTCAATACAATGCAAAAGAAGTTACAGAATATTAGAAAGTAAGGAAGAAAGGAGTTCAGGTTAAAATGATTAAAACACATGAAAATCGAGTTTAAGCTTTTTTTTTTCTTTTGTAAAACCCAAGATTGTTACGGAATTATCAACCCATTATTAGTTTAACAACTGTTTGAAAATACAGAAATCATCAATCGCTTTGAATTGTTTTTACTCGGATGCACTTCCATGTAAGAAATTTATGTATTTTTTAATACTAGTGAAGTTTTCCTAAATAAATGCTGTGGGGGGATGCTAACTCACTTCACAGTACTACTATGAAAAAAAGCGGTGGTAAAAGCAGCAGAAGGTAGCAACGTTGCATGTTTAAACTCTGCAATGTATAGGTTTGATTCGAAGTTGATCTTCTACAAAAGGAGTGTTTATCAAGGAAATTGAGTTTCTTTTTTAAAAGAGAAGTAATTGGCATTTACTATACAGGCTATTTAAAACAACAAGAACCCTATTGGCGACAATACATACGCAATATTGAAAATATGAACAACTGGAAGAATAAAAACTAAAAATCACTATAAACTTATCAGCTAGCGGCGCTGAACCGGGAAGTCGGATCCAGCAATTTCAAGATCTCTAGTAGAAACGCTCCGCAGGCGAGACCAGACTGTTATTTTTCTCTCATCCTTCCCACCCCGGCTAAACTGAATTCACATAACCGCCGCTTGAAATAAAATTCTGCAAGACAACTTTTTTACTTTTGTGTCTTCTTTCCTTTTCTACTCACCTTTTCTTAAATGTCGACGAGAAATTCAGCAACAAATAAGGAGGATGCTTTTAATCTTGGAGTTCTTCTAGGGAAAAAATAGGAGGGGGACGGACCCTCCCCACAACCTGCCGGTTTCATACCCGTTGGATCATACAGGCTTGAAGCCCGGCGTAAAAGTGCTGGAAGTCTGGTCTAGACTCTCCTCTCCGAAGCTCCGAGTGCCCGGCCGTCCCTGCTCTGGTCAACTGGGCAAATACCTCGCAGTCCGCAGCCCCGCGCCCTGGCGTCGCCCTACCCTCGCTTCTGCCAGCCCCTCCGCACTATCTTTATATGTGAGGGCCGATTTCCCGCAGACATCATTGTTATGATGGCTCATTTAATCAAACTGTTTAATTGCTCTGGTAATCACTATCATCATCACAGGTGCTCAATCATTCATTATTTTTGGAGGGCTTTATTGACCTCCGGAGCTCATTCCCCAGCCCTATTAAAACGGGGCCAAATTTCTCCGACTTAGCTTGGAGTCTCAGCAGGCTGCGATCTAAGCTCAGTTGAGTGTTGCCTGAAAGCTTACAGTGAAGCAGAGAAGATGGAAAGCCCCCCCCC